AAAGTGGTAGAATTATGAGTCTTATGATCTGATTCTGGCACCATTATAATTAGCTGTATATTTGCTACTCCTCTGCATTTTAATAGTTCCTTTTATCTGTAAAATGGTGGTACTACCTGCCAGTAAACCCAGCCTCCAAGCTAACGTGAAATCCAATTGAGATGGGTTCAGGAAAGGTCTTGAGACCAACTGGGCTATACAGATAAGGAGAAGAATGGGACTGTAAAGTCAGGGGGAAAGACCATTAAGTGTCAGCCAGTTTTACAAACAACTGGGCACAAATCAGAGACGTAAGCACCGTGACGATATACTATATTGCAGCCCATGTTGTGGAATACAGGCCTACCATTGTCACAAAGTTGAACAATGCCCGTGCTAAAACAAGCAGGCTATCAGTCTGTCTGGGCTGTCCCTCCCTCAATCCTTTTACTTAGATAGAACAGGAGAAAAAAAGAAAAATAGAAAGGGACTAAAGGTTCCCTAACGTCACTTGGTTTTCCTTTAGGGCACGGATTCTCTCTCATTCCAGCTTTATTTTCCTCCCCACTATAGGCAAGCCAAGAAAAATATGGATTTATTTTTACTAAAAGGAACAAAAAGTCAAAAGCAGGGAAACTCACAGAAAACTACCAACAAGACGACAGACACATCTTTTTGAATTTGTATGGGCAAACTGAATACAGTACTAAATAAGGTCTGGCAAAGAAACTGATGCCTGTTGGTTAAGCACAGGTGGTGGCATTAAGCTGCCATTCTAATGCCAAAAGTTTTATGGGGTCTAGTCTGAGGTGGAAAACGACACCATCAGCCTCACCTCTAACTGGACAAAGTTGTTGGTTTAATCAAAAACAATTTTCAAAGTGTGCTGACAAATTCAGTCCTTCTTTCTCTTACACTGAAATGACAAAGAGGGATGAATGGACTTCACAACCTTTGAGGTCACTTTCAACTCATGACTGATTCTATTAAAAAGGTTAGCTACAGAGTTGTTAACAAGACCATGACAGCCAGGTGGCTTTGCCCATTTATCTACCTCCAAATATACCACGTAAAATATGGTGGATTAAAAACGCACTTTAGCACTTTTGATGTTATTTAACCATTTATTAAAATGGTTAATCGTCAAACACATAGACCAGCGCAAGGGCAACATGTCAGAATTTTGCTTTCACTTATGAAACAGAGGTGCCATTTAATCTCAATGTAAATTCTGCACTATAACCACACTGGCAGCATTTAAAGACTGCCTCCAGTTTTTATACTCAGAGTTAGGAAGAGTTTCAAATGTTTAACAATGATGCCATTCATGTTCCCACTAAAAGATGTGAAACTCTAGGGTCCTTTCTGTTTAAATTCCTGGTCCTTCACCTTAGTAAGAGGTCTCGAAAAGCCTCATGCTAATGAGGCCTGCGGACTGAATCGGGCTTCCAAGGCTCAGAGCCAGGCTTAACTTTAGTGTGGAATTTCACCACAAAGCAGAGCTTTGCAAAGATCTGCTTTTCTTTTCATGAACATTCCACTCTACTGGAGAAAATAACTTGAGTAGAAGGCACCAGTCAGCTAACTGAAATACGTCTGTCACAAAGGGACAAGTCCATGCTACATGTACGTGTGGTTTCTTCATTTACAATAAACCACACTATCTTCCACAGAAATTGCCTTAGTCAGGAGCCCAGGGGTACTTAATCGCTATGATGCCAACATCATTGAAAATGCATGCTCAAATTTCCATGTACTTTTGTTTTGTGCTTTTACCCTGGAAATAAGGTTTACACTTTTCTATTATATTCTCCAAGAGGCAGTGACTCCACAATGGTTAAGAAGCACTGCTCTAAAGTCTTCTACAGCTCCAAAATTTTACTCTAGCTATGTATGCCAGAAAAGTACAGAACCAATTCTAACTGGGCAACTAGGGGGGAAAAAAGTTCAAAAGCAGATACTTATTGAAATGTTCACTTTTTTGCTATGGCATATGGCAATGAGATAGACCTGGAAGAAAAAATATTAAAAAAACAAAAACAGCTACGGGTTGCATTTCAGTATCCAGAAAATTATGACTCACTTTTCTTAAAACAAACATGTTCCAGGTTAGGTAAATACCACCACACCACTATACGTTAAAAAAAAATTAGCTGTTTTCCTTATGCACAGAAGAGGCCACAGTCCTTGGGGTGACTACGTCAACTGACCAAACTGATTTGGAGGTATTACGCTGATTAATATTTTTTTGCTTCTGATTTTGCCAGAACAAAATATTTAACTACCCTGGATTTATCAATAGTCCTTTTTTAACATCCAACCCCTGTTACAACTGTTTTAACTAGACCCACTGACTTAAAGACTTTTGGCTTAATTATGAGTTTAAAGTGTTGTTCTATTTTTCCCTATGTAATTGGCTTTCTTGATATCATGCAGTTATGTACTAAAATAATGAAATTTCTGGATTTCTCATATTTTAAGTTTTAAGGAAATGATTAAGTCAACCACTTCAAGTGTAAACTCCGTCTCTGGAGCCAAAATATATGTTGTACCATCATATTAACTGCCCTGCATGGCAGACTCACTACTTACACATACTTACATAAAAAGAGCAATTCCAGTATTAGCCATGGCATAAGAAAGCCCAAGGATTCCACTGCCCACAATCGCATTGCTCAGATTAAATACTGACATTCCAAAGGAAGTAGTACCTGGATGCTACATAGAGGGAAAACGATAACCAAACATATAACAATAATTAAATGGAGAAAACCAGCTTTGGGCAAGTTAGATTTGAAATCTGAAGTAAAACTATTCTTTTACTCCATAATGCGACAGACACACAAATTACGATGTTTCACTTACAAAGTCTGTTTCATACTTCTTCTTCCCCAAATTCGATTCAAGTAAAAAGTTCTGGTTTTCAGGATCTACATCTGCATAATGGCTGCAAAAAAAAAATCCCAGAAAAGTCCTAAATTGGATTGAAATATACAACGGAATGTATTAAGCAGGAGTCGATTTTCACACAAGGTTCTGTCACTGCAATATGACAACCGGAGACAGAGAGAACACTCTCTCTCCAAATGCTACAGTAAATTAAAGCAAAAGAAGTCAAGTCCTAGGTAAAGAACCCCGATCCGCACAACCCGTCTTAAAAGGAGCAACTTCTCCCACCTTTTTAGGGCAGCTTGCTTGGTGGGGTAGGAGTAGTTGAAGTCGCTGTTCGAGCTGTAGCTGCTGCTGTCCTCATCCGGGGAAATACTGAACCTTCCCATTTCGGCTTTCTTCATGCTGGGCACCTGGAGGACTCGGGTGCAGCGAACAACACTGGGTTCCTTTTGTCCTTGGCGTGCACTGGCCCGCGCGGCTGCCTGCGAAGGTAGAGGCGGCACGTCAGGACTGCAGCGCCCGCCCTGGTCACGTGATGCCGCCGGGCGGCGCAGCGCGGCTGATTCATCCCCGGCCAGGCGAGTGGAAAAGTACCAGCCGAGCGCGAGGGGCGGGGGCGCGCGGAGCGGCGGAAAAGTACAGACAGCGGAGCCGCGGAGAACAAAGATGGTCCCACCGCGGCGCTGCGCCCGCCGGACGCCGAGGCCCTTCTCCAGCGGATCTGAGCACTGCACCCACTCGGTTATCCCAAGTCTGAGAGCAAGGGTGCAGGAGACTCTGTTTTGCTCCCCGCCCCCAGCCTCTTTGGTCGTGCACAGGCACGCAGGGCACACGTCCCACCCGGGCACTGGCTAGGTGTGCATGCAGCCCAGGCGCACAGCTGCCCCTTTCGAGCATTTGCAATAGCAATGCCGCGTAATCCGTCCTTTCATGCCCAGAGTCCCCAGGTGGGGACATGCTTCTGCGGCACACAGCAGACTCGAAGAGGGCAGAAACAGCTGACATAAGTCCTCCTCTCTAGAAAAGGAGAGAACGCCCGTTCTCGGGCGCGCATAGGCGCCCAGGGTTTGTTTACACGCGCACGCCCGTGCCCTCGACACACTAGTCCAGAGGCATGCGGCTCTCTAGCGCTTCGCCCGGCCGGCCCCTCCTATGCCCGGAAAGGAAACTGATGCAACATCGATCGCCGATTGTCAAACGTTCCCGGCCCGTCTTCCCCAATCTTGGTCTCGGCTACACTAAAAGCCAAAACCCATCTCCGCCGCCCCCAAATCCCAAGCCCCCTGGATTTAATGTTTTTTATTAATGCAAATCAGTCACAAGACTTGCCGCAGAGGAGCCGCGGGTCGGCCTGGCTCCCCTCCCCCTAACGGGAGGATGCGGCTCCGCTCCGGGCGGGGACGAGGCCCCCGCCCCTCCCCCGCCCGAGGGCGGAGACCCCCGCGCGGTCAGGGTCGAAGGCGGGCCCTGCCGACCGCAAACGCCCTTCCCGGGCGGAAACGACCCCAGCAGGCGCCTTCCCGCCGCGGCCCCTCTCGCGGCCCCTCCCCCACTCCCGCCCGCGCCTTGCGCCCCCCGCCCTTTGCACAGACGCCCTCCGCGCGCCTCACCTCGGTGGTCTCCCCTCCTGTGTCCCGGAAACGTCTGGCAAATGCCTCCGGCGGATTTCCCTCAGTCAAACAAAAATCGTAAAAAAAACCAAAACAAAAAAACCCCCAACAATAGACAGGAAAAACAATTTTAATAACAAAAGGAAATGGCAAGTTGCCGCCCCAATGGTTCGGCGTCCGCCGTCTCGGGGGAAAGGCGCGAGTGTGGGGGAACGCGTGGTCGGGCGGGCGGCGGCGGCGGCGCGGGCAAAGACGCTCGGGAAAGGCGGTGTCGCGCGACTCTGGAGCGGCCGGGCGAGCGGCGGGTTATAGCGGAGCCCAGGCGGACGCGTCAGTGGGCGGGCCCGGCCGCCGGGGGCCTTCTCTTTGTGTATCAACACCACCTGGGCTCCACCCCCCGCCCGCCCGGCCCGCAGGCTCCGCCCCCG